TACAGAAATCCCGTACGAGTTCAAACTGTTACTTAGAGGTAGTAGAGATGGGTTCGATGCCAATACATTTCATAGATTATGCGATAATATACCTGGCCTAATAGTTGTTTTAAAGGTTGGAAATTCAAATGAAATACTTGGTGGATATAATCCTATTGGCTGGAAATCTACAAATGATGGATGGAAAGCGGCACCTAATAGCTTTATTTTTTCTCTAAAAAATGAGAATATGAAACAATCTATTCTTAGTCGTGTAAAGAATCGATTAAATGCAATTTATCATGAAAAAACACATGGTTCATGGTTTTTTAATTTTGGATTTCGGGATTCTTATGGTCCTAAAAAATGGTATTATGGTAAAAGCAATGCTTATCAACTGCCAATCAGAAACGTAGCGGATGATTGTTTTTCAGTCGATGATTATGAAGTATTTCAAATATTAAAAATTTCGTAAATTCTGCTATAAATTTACTTGTCATTTATAGTTCATATAGATAAAAATGAATTATAATTAAGTTAATGGAAAAACATCAGATCACACTTTATAATTTGAGTTTTCTAATTGTGTTGCAGTTAATTGACTGATTCGTTCATACTCTTTATCATCCGGTTCATATTTCTCAGGTTGTAATTATAAATTGACTAGTTATTTTATAATAAAAATTTATATAACAACTTAGACTCGTTTTCCTATACCAACCTTATTCATTAATCGTGGTCCACATGTTCTGACCTTATCTTCTGGAAAAAAAATTGATATTTACCTCTATTGTTAAAAAAATTCTAAAACAAATACATATATAAAACCATTATCATGCTTTAAAATTAAACCTGTTTTGCCATAATCATTTTTTAATACAATATATAGAACAATAAATAATATTTTGAATAATTCTAATACTATAATATGTGCAGGAAGTGCAGGAAAAAAAATAAATTTGGCAAATTACATGAAAATAATTACAAATAAGGGCTCAAAGTGAAAATAACTACATATAAGGGACCAAATTTTGAAAAATGGGGTCTTTGCCTTGAAAATCAAGTTATGGGACATAGTAAATCATATGTCATATATTGATTTTCAAGGCAAAGATCCCAAATATTACAAACAAGAACCCAAATTTCTCGTAACTAATTAGATTGCAAGTTTCTAATATTCAAAATTATATGAAGGTAATTTTCTTTGACAATTAAACGTATTATTTTTTGATCAGTATTGCATTATTTTCCTAGCGTCTTATATACAAAATTTATAACTACGTTTGCCGATTTTTAAACTTTCTCTTCGAATATAAATGATTCTGCGATTCTATATATCTTCGATTAACTCATAGTAATCTTCACAAAAATATGATTCACTAATTTTGGTATAGGATAGTAGTTTAGAACCAATCAACATTACATTATTGATAATACAGTGATAACGTTCAAAGAAAATAACGCAAGGTTATTGTGGCCATTAATTGTAAATTTTTCAAAATCTGGACCCTTGGAACCTAAACCAGTTAAAACACGAGTTTTTAATTACGTGAATTTGATTATGT